TGCTAAAAGGGAGAATATTAATTGAGTCATTCCTCTGTCATATATGGGATGTTTGCTAGTATAAAACATTCCTAGAAATTATAACTGTAAAGGCCCTAGCAATGATTTAGTGTGGCCTCTTCATGTTGTAGATGAGGAAGCTCAAACTGACGGTCAGGGACAGGTGAAATTCACAAAGTTGGTTTACAGCAGAACTGTGCTACAATCATCTGGATTCAGATCTAAGGCCCCTCCAAATGAATCACAACCACTGTCTACTTTTATAACTCCAGATCATGAAAGGTCACTGTTTTAGTCTGGGTGGTGTAGTGGAACAGAAAGACCTTGGTTGAATCTCAGGTCTGCTGTTTACAAGATGTGAAATGGGGAAATCTAAAATGAATATGTATATACAGAAACACACGTTACATACATATATGTAATGTTCAAGATCATTAGACTGAACTTTAGAGCTTAGTACTAATGTACAATCGAGGTTGTGTTAGTACTGAGGAGTATATCATTTTATTGTTGAAGTCCAATAGGAACACAGCAGATATCAACCTAATTTGTAAGTGATGCATTTTCCTAAACTAAATGCCAAATAATGGAATGGGCTAGAATACTGCAGAACAGGACTGTGAATAGAGGAAAAGAGTTCGAAAATCAATCCTTATAAGGGCACGAAAGGATGAATGAACCACATTCTAAAGAGCCTGCTCCCACCCACTGCTATTCCCACTTCCACTGTAGTTGGTAGCATGTTCACAAGGAAGGAGCTGGCTAGGTTTGATGGGAGCCACGTCATCCATCAAATCACATTAGTGTTGTTGATTTGAATGTTATTACCTTTGTAGGTCTGTTTGTTTCTACTTTGTAAAATTTTTTGGTCTTGCTGTTATACAAGGAGTACAATCATAAGGCATTTATATCTTGTTTTGCATTACACATTTAAGCAAAATTATGTTAAAAATTAGATATATAGGATGATTTTTCCTTCAAGAGATACTCATTTGTTTCCTTTTGGGTATGAAAAATGCTTATGTAATCCTGCATGTGGTCTCTTTTTAAATGTTCAAGATTTTCTCTGACCCTCACATCATGGCAGCTGCAAGTTGTAACTGTATCAAATGAGATAATACTAAATGGCATAAGACCACTTGAATTCAGTGATGTTCCAAAATAACTTGTACTTTATTCATCACAAGGCATTTACATAAATTAAAAAGTAATAGCACCTGAAAACATGAAAATAATTGTATTCAAAGCTATTTACTGCAGCATGATTTTTAAGAGAAAAGATTGGAAACAACCCAAATGTCCACTAATCGAGACTGCTTGAACCCAAGATGTTCTATCCACATCACCCAGCTGAGAGAAGGAATGAGGTCTGTTTCTATTCACTGCCAGGGGTAATTTCCAAGAAGCATTGTTAAATGAAATAGCAAGATAGAGAAAATGTGAATAGTGGTTACTATTTACCCAAGAAGGGGTGTGTGTGTGTGTGTGTGTGTGTGTGTGTGTGCGCGCGCGCGCATGTGTGATCTCCAGAGAGACAGAGAAAAGAGGATGGTGAAGACAGGGGTAGGAGTGAGACTTCTCCGGGTTTATCTTTTTTTTTTTTTTGAGACAAAATCTCACTTTATTGCCTAAGCTGGAGTGCAGTGGCTCGATCTTGGCTTACTGCAACCTCTGCCTCCTGGGTTCAAGTGACGTTCTTGCTTCAGCCTCCTGAGTCACTGGGAATTACAGGTGCCCATCACCATGCCCAGCTAACTTTTCTATTTTCAGTAGAGGCTAGGTTTCACCATGTTGGCCAGGCTGGTCTCCTGGCCTCAAGTGATACACCTGCCTTGGTCTCCTAAAGTGCTGGGATTATAGGTGTGAGCCACTGTACCTGGCTATCTGGATCTCTTTCTAGTACGTTTGACTTTGAAACCAAGTTAGTATTTTCTATAATTAAGAAAAAAATAGAATAAAAAAGGAACAATTTATAAAAAGGAAGTCAAAAGAAGCATGTTAACCTGTGCGTTGAGTTCGTAGCATAACCACACAGACAGAAATTATTTTAAGTGATTTTAAAGCATACTGATTTGATTGTGCATCCCTAGTGAGATATAAATAAAGGTAAAAAGAACTGCAACAAGCCTAAATCGTTTTCAATCATTATATCATAAATAGTAATTTTTGTATTATTATTTTAAAACTGTTATATCTATAATACATATGTTAACATAATTATGTTTATGCTTAACATATGGATGCATAGATATTAGGACAATATATAAACATGATTATGTTAATGTCATTAGGGACCAAGATTTCGAGAAAAAGAAAAATATACAATTAAAGAAATTAGTAAAAATGTTATCTTAAATTTAAACTGGACACATCACTGTAAACTCATAATGTGTTTTCTTTTAAAAAAACTATTTTCAAATTCAGTCTCCTGAAGAGAACTCACAACAATTACCAAGCCAGTAGCAATGGCAATAAACAGCCCTAGTGCCCAGATGGTGCTCTCTAAATACCATTTTCCACTAAAAAAATGAGGGCTCCTTGGAGAATTGGATGTTTTCAGATACAGAGCAGAACACATACAAAAAGTGCCTGGAACATTTGTCATACTGAAAAGCAGATACACTATGAAAGACTATAGTAATTTTATCAAAAGAACTCAGGAGCCACCATGAAGAGGCTCCCAGTGTCCAGAAATGGAATAATATGAGCATTAAGAATAATAAATCTTAATCTGTTATGTATCAATTTAATCATATTGCAGATGTTCATAGCAGCATTATTTAAAATAATGAAATATTAGAAACAACTTAAATATTCAAAACTAGCAGTATGCCTTCATATATAGAAATGTCATTTAAGCCTTGTTGTAGAAAAGAAGTTTATGATTTAGGAAGATGTTTATAATGTGTTGTAAAACACATACAATGAGTCACAAAATATTATGCATGCAGTATATTCCAGTTTGTTTAAAATGATCTGGGTACAAATATGCATGAAAAGAAAACTGAATGAATAAATTGTGAAATGTGCATAGTTGCTGTATCTGTGTGGCAGGATTACAGGTGGTTGTATTTTGGTTTCTCTTTATGTTCTAATCTTCTACAGTTGGCATGTATAATTTTATATTTTTAATATAAAATATGCTATTTAGTATTAAACATAAAAAATTAAAATTCAACTTTTTTTTTAACAAAAGCATATGAGTGCAAAGGTACATTATTTTTTAGGCTACAGACAATACTTGTACCTGTGTTTAGGGATTTGATCCTCCAGGTAGGAAACTACAGATCTAATTTAACTTAAGAAATTTTTAAGTCCCCGAAAAGCAAAGTGACTTGCTCAAAGCCATTATTATCAAGCAAAGAAAAATGTCAAAAGTACAAAATGCAGTTATATTTTAAAAATCAGATTATTATTAAGATAGGGCTGGCTCTGTTGCTCAGACTGGAGTGAAGTGGTGCAGTCATGGCTCACTGAAGCCATGACTTCTTGGGCTCAGATGATCCTCTCACCTCAGCCTCCCGAGTAGCTGGGGCTATAGGTGTGTACCACCACACCTGGCTAATGAAAAAAAGAAATACTTTGTAGCAATGATGTCTATGTTGTCCAGGCTAATCTTGAGCTCCTGAACTCAAGTGATCCTCTCATCTCAGCCTCCCAAAGTGCTGGCATTACAGGAATGAGCCACCATGCCCAGCCAGGTTTATATTCTTTTGACATGGTCCTGGTTACTTCATCTATGTGTGCAAAATTTTGTATTTATCTCTTAAATCTGTAGAAAAAATGGCCAAATTTGGTACAATTGAATTTATCATGGGGTGATTAATAAGTGGCTAAAGATCGACTTTCAAGGATCCAAAGATCTGACCAGTGTAGATATATAGTAATTACATTGTGCCTCCAGGAATGTCCTTTACTTGCTTGCCAGTTAGCTACGAAAGGATGTAAAGAATAAGGGCAATTCATTATTTTAAAGACATTAACCTCAGAAGGAGATTCTTCACCTAAATACTCCTGCAAATACTATTGCTTTATGGTTGGAGTTAGCTGAAAATGAGTTTTCTATGCCTGGTATAAACACCTGCACCACCCCACTGTGCTGAAGAACTTTTCATTAACTGTATTGGGACTGATTGATGTCAGTCTACGAGGCAACCAAGTGAGCCGCTTAGAAGAAGGATTCCCTTATGAAGTTAATTTCTTTAAAATGGTAAATTGCCCTTATTCCTTACGTCCTTTCATAGCTGATTACACAAATGTATAGAAAATACCTCTTGAGGTACAATATAATCTGTAACTAGTCATCAGGGAATAACACTCTATTGTGCAGAGACTTAGCTTGGCCGTAAAGGGCATATTTACACCCATATTGAAAATAACTTTAATAAAATGAAAGAACATATATCCTTGAATTCTTAGCAATTTAACAATAATGCTCTCAGGAGATCAAGCTACTATTTATTGACTCCCCCTGTGTGCCTTACACATTATTACTGACCCTCACAACATCCCTGGAAGTTAGTATCTTACAGGAGACCTTTGACATTTGTGAGTGGACATCATGAATATTTTCGGAGTCCTCAGTCCAAAAGTGTGGGCATAGCTGTTGGTTTTCTTGAATTATATTTATTTTAAGAATCAAATGTTGCTTGTGAATATTCTCATGTCAGATTAAAAAATGTCTTTTCCTGACTCTTAGAACTTTAGTTTTATCTCTGCATTGAGAGCCACTTTAATAAGCAAATGAACTAAAATCTCTACAGAAAGACTGTACAGGAAATGAGTAGAGAATGGAAGCTGGCTAAACCTGGCAGTCAGCTAAGATCACTCAGTGTCTGAGAATTTGTTCTAGTAAATCACCCTCCTAGAATCATGCAGATTGTGCTTAGACTTCATATATTCATACTCCCCTGGCGCGAAATTAAATTGGCACATTTATAAAGAAATTTTTATTTTATACCCAAATATTTTAAAATATATATATTGTTTGTCTTGTTAATTCTACCTCTTGTCATCTATCCTAAGGAAAATAATCATAAGATATCTGCAAAGAATTATGTGAATGTTGATAATAATTTTATCTGTAACAACAAAAACTTGCAAGGTGGCAGATATCAGTTTATGTCCCTGAGCGCCAAATCCATCCTTGTTTGTCTTGTTTTTTTGTGACTGGAGCTGGACCCTATGGACATTTCTCTTTTGAAAATTTGGGGGCTATTCAACTTTGTCAATTGAGGGCACTGGAGAGACTCTGCAATGCAATAGAGGTTCCAGGTGCACCTGCAGGCCATCTTTCTCTACCTGCAGCAATTTCAGGGCAGCTTCGGTCTGTTCATACCCTCCAGCAATGGTGGGCCACTTCTACAGACAAACTCTGGCCCACTCACAGCACCAAGCAAAAGAAGGTCACTCCTGTAGACCAGCTTCCAACCACCCACATCCACCAGTGATGATAGATTGCTTTTATTGATCAGTGCCAGCCTGTGCACTCAGTCAAGTTTCTTTGTTCCTGCAGGCTGCCTGTGGTAGTTACTACCTCTCAGAAGAGGTTTGAATCTCAGCCTTGGGGCAAGGAGGGCTTCTCCTAGTCCTAAGTACCTTTACTGTTCTTCTTCCTCAGCCTAGAGATAATAGCTGCTTTTTAAATTTGTGTTGCCTGGGCCTCCTACTGACCCTCACAACATCCCTGGAAATTAGTGTCTTATAGGAGAACGTTGACATTTGTGAGCAGACATCGTGAATATTTTCCAAGTCTTTTAGTAGTAAATTTTTTAGTAAAGTTTTGGAATATTAAATTTTCTGTGTTCAGATTGTCATAAGTTTTTGTCTTCGACTTGGACCTTGAATGATGCAGAAGTTAAAGGCTGAAAAATAATGGACTTTTTAAATAAATAAGGAGGTATCCACACAATGGCATAAAATTGTTTTTTTCCTTCTTTTTTTTGTTTTCATTTTATTATTTATTTATTTGTTTGTTTGTTTTTTGTTTGTAAAATTGTTTGAATTATCTATTGTTCTCTTGGTGAGGTGACCCAGACCCTTGTTTGAAAGGGTTTTATTGGCTGGGTGTGGTGGCTTACGCTTGTAATCCCAGCACTTTGGGAGGCTGAGTGGCAGACCACCTGAGGTAAGGAGTTTGAGACCAGCCTGGCCAACATGGTGAAACCCCACCTCTACTAAAAGTACCAAAATTTTCTGGGCATGGTGGCAGGCTGTAATCCCAGCTACTTGGAAGGCTGAGGCAGGAAAATTGCTTGAACCCAGAAGGCAGAGGTTGCAGTAAGCTGAGATCATGCCACTGTACTCCAGCCTGGGCGACAGAGTGAGACTCCATCTCAAAAAAAAAAAAAAAAAATGAAAAACAACAACAACAACAAAAAAGAAAAAACAAAACTGAAAGAAAGGGTTTTATTTATTTCCTCTCTCTTTTTAAAATTTTTTTTGGCTCATATTTGTTGTAATTGCTCATTTGTTAGGGTCATTGGACACAGAAATACCAAGATGCCTCCGGAAATCATGAATATTCCCCAAGTCCTCAATCAGAAAGCATGAACAGAGCAATTGGTTTTCCTGGGGTTTAGACATGGTCTTTCTTGTTCCTATTGTATAGTAACCCTAGCTCCTCAAGGAAATCATGGTCTATGGGCTCTGCCAAACAGCAGTTCCTTTCTTTGCTTGCTGGCTCACTGGCTTAAGGAACTCAAAGTAATCTTTTGGCAATTTCAGCTTCCAGGTCAGTGGGGACATTAATTGTTTCTTGGTAGAAATGTCACTCTACTCCAAGAAATAAGATCTTTAATCCAGAAAACCTGAGTTTTCAGGAACAGAATGCACAAACTTTTGTGGTCATTCACTGGGAGTTCTAATGATCAGGTTCAATCATATTTCTATTCTTTAGTTCCTAGACCCATTCATTTTAGCTACTGGGCAGAGAACCATGTACCAGCTATTAGTGTTGTATGTACTCCATATCATGAAGCTATTTTTTCACCACAAGGTTTTCTCCCCAAGCCGGTGCCATAACTGAGACTTTACCAGGCTATTCCTTCATTTTAGGTGTTTCTGGGGTGTAGAGTAAATGATAAGAGCAGACTCCCATGATAAATGACCACCATGGTGCACTTCCTTTGCTATGAAATGTCATCTTGGTCCTAGTCTGTATTGCAAGGCGCACCATACTGATAGACCAGGTACTGTTGAGCCGTTGATGGTGGTACTGATAGAGGGACTGCAGGAAGAAAAGGTAAATCCATACTCAGAGTATGTGTTGATTCTCATAAGGACAAATTGGTATGCCCTCCAAGACAGGTGGTTCTGATAGATGGTTGTGTAGCCAGCCTCCTTGAGAAATGGTTCTAAGTCAAGGTCTTGGCATGGGATTCCACGACTGACAAGTTGGAAATTTAGCATTGGCAATTGCTGGGTTATCTTTTGTGAGTGGGCACTTATATTGTTGGACCATGCGTAGCTACCATTGCAGCACTAGAGACACTGTTTATGGGCTTTGCTGTACAAGAACTGGGGTGGCTAAAGAGGGCCTGGCTAAGAGGCAGGAAGGATCATCCTGAGCACATGGTTGTTGAGTCTCCTCTGCAGTTGAGCAGTAGTATGAGATCTGCTTTGTGTTTATTATCATAGGATTGTCTACATACTTTTTCCCATACATTTTCTCTGATCTTCAAGTCTTTTTTTTCTTGCCCTATCCAAATGTCCAAGCCATTCACTACTGCTTAGAAGCTAGTGCATACTTAAGGATCTGGTCCTTTCTTCCATATGAAGTGGATAACCAAGTGTGTTGCTTGTAGTTTCACCCACTGGGAGGATTTCCCTTTACCTCTCTTCTTTGGGGCCACCTCATGTGAGAATGAAATGCAACAGCAGACTATCTCTGGCTAGAGGCAATAAATTATGCTAGCCCAATTATGCACCAGGCCTGAGCTGTTTCCTTCACCATTGATTGCTTGTAGGTAGCAGTTGTGGAAGCTTCCTGTGGACCACATGAACAGATTCAGGTGATGCAGCTGCTCAAACCCATAAATCACCTGCAGTGTGTTCTGAAAATGTGTGGCTCAAGTGCAACTACCCTAAAAGACCAACTTGGTGAGTGATGAGATGAGTGGGAAGTAGCGAGGATGACCTGGATTTTCCACTGAGTAACTGGCCAAGTCCTGGGGACAAATGAGGCCAAGTGAATCCTAGGGAAAGGTACAAAAACAGGAGAATGGATCGTGTGTTCAGTATTGGAACTGGTGACTATTAAGTGGCTGTGGGGCCTCTGAATATAGATGGTGTGATAGTTTTAAAACATGTCTGAAAAATCTTTGACACTGTTTCCATCACAAGGTGATGTCTGTATCTCCTCCCCTTGAACCTAAGTGGGCCTTTGTGACAGATCTGATGAATAGAATGCAGCAGTGTGATGTCCAAGGCTAGTTTACAAAAGCCCATGTTGGTTTCTCTGGAGACACTTGCTCTGGGAGCTATAAGTGTCCTTCAACTAAAGCCTTCCAGGAACACACCTGCAGCTAAACAAATTGGATTTATTGCTCATTGTAGCAGGAGAACATACACCAGGGGGAACCAGAGGATCTCTCAATAAGAAGGTGTTAGAAAGAAGCTATTATAAGATTTGGGCTTTGGTTGGGTGATTTGGGGGAAGGTTGACGGAACTAGGGGTTTGGTCTAGATTAAATGCTCTCGGAAAATGGGAGTACTTCTAGAATTCTAGGGTTGGATATTTTGTAGGTGGCATAGTGACCTTGTTTTGTCTGTCCTTACACAGATTATGAAGTAGGCTTGTTTTGTTTCATTTTAGCTTTGTCTCATAGTAACTTTGTCTGAGGTTGGTATTCTATAAGATTGTTTATGTCTAAGGAGAATGACATGGCTTGGCTGTGAATGTCAGATCAGTTCTGAACATGAGGGGCTGATATTTTCTTCTTGAGCTTTCATTTGTCATGTAAGAAGTCTGGCTACCCTTAGGCCCCCACATAGAGTGGCTGTATACCTATATGAAAGAGAGATGGTTTGGAGTTCAAGCCTCCAGCTAGTCAAATCTGCCCAGCCCAGGAGACAGATGTTTGAATGAAGGAGACTTTGAGGTAATTTCAGCCCCAGTTACTGTCTGACCACAATTGCCTAAGAGACCCTGAGGAAGGGCTGCTTTGCTGAACCCAGTCAACCTCTAGATTGGTAAACAAAATACATAATTATCGTTGATTGAAGCCACTATTCAGGGGGAGGTTTTCCTACAGTAATGTCATTGATGCAGGTGTCTGACAGGCAGTTGGCTCTAGAGGTCTGGAGCTAAGGAGAATTATTTGGCTTGGAGATATGGATCAGGAAGTCCTTTAACAAGGAGAAAGCACTTGAAGTCATTTGAATGGATGATATCACCTGAAAGATAATATACATTGAGAAAGAAAAACAATAAAGAGCTCACAGTAGCACCTTTAGTAACAACACTGAAGAGACCAGGAAGAAATAAAGAAGTATTTGCAAGCAGACAGAGAAGGAGTTAAGAAGATGATCAAATGGCATCCATTCCAAGAGATGATGTCCAGGAAGCCAAGAATGAGAGTATTTCAGAAAGGAGAGTGTTGTCCACAGAGTTAAATGCTATGGAGAGAGATGGAGTAAGACAAGATTGATTCAGCACCAATGAGCTTTCATTGTTGACAAATGCAGTTTGAGGGAAATTGGGGGCTAGGGAGTGATAGGGCAGGAACCAGAATGCAATGAGGTAAGGAGGAGTAAGAAGATGAGAAGAATGCTAAATCCGTGCTGTCTGCCACATCATGGGCCCTCTCTATAGATGATTTATGTATAATTATTTTCTACAATTTAATAATGCCTAGAACTATCACATCACATCGTAAACCCTACAATTCCACAATAGCATGGGTAGATCAAACCCATGTGTATTTTTAATATTATACTTTAACCTTTAGTTCTGAGTCATAAATGTACTACTGTGTTGTTGTCTTTTTGGTCTGTCATTATAGTAATCACTTTACATCTCTTATTGTTTATTTCTCTTGCAATTAAAATAGTTCATCATTTAAAATAGTACCCAGCATTCAGTGTCCACTGGTGCCTTGTAATTACTTCAGAAAAACAGTCTCAGTTTAAGAGTTATAAACTCTTAAGGCCTTTCTGCAGGAGGAATAGCTTACTTTCGCCAGAGCCGTCTGGGGAGCATTATTCTAGTCATACCCTGCTAATTCATTGGCTTGATTGTCAGGGATCCTACTCTAGTTCATCCTCCTGGGAGGCTTGTGTGGGTCTCTGCTTATCCCAGTGGGGGTCAAGGCCTCCTTGACAACAGTGAATGAGTTGCTAGGAGGCTGTGGAAAGAAATTCCTCTAATTCCATCCATAAGTAGATCCTAATGCAGTGGCCTCATTTGGCTCCTCTAAGCCTCTCTTTCCCACCTTTTTTCAGGGCAAGTCTTACCCTATTTTCTTCATTACTTGCTTGTGGTTTCCTTGCAGGAGATGCTTGGAGGCAAGCATTATGACAAGGACAGGAGTGAGTGGGAGTAAGGCCTTTACATGAAGAGTTTACATTTCAAAGAACTTGAAATTTATATTTCAAATGTCATTTCCAAATGAGATTGTACACACAGACAGAAATGCAATTAACAGATTTGAAAGAGGCCACGTAGCATGCAGTTTAAACTCTGTTGCGTTCCTTGGCTACTCTTGTCTGTGGCATCTTTTTAACAAATCCTGTAGTTACCTTGTAAATATCACTATAGAGTATATTGTATTTAAAAACACTGTTTAAATGTAAAAGTTGCTTTTTTCCCACTTTTAAAAAAAGGTTTTATTATTTTAAAAATTCCGTGTTGGTTTTTATATATATATATTTTAGGATGCTAGAAGACTCTAAAATGGGAAACTCCTGGTGCTTTTCCGCATCTGAGAATCTGCTTAGGGCAGCAACTTTGAGTCTGTGGGGGAAGGTATGTCCATGTGGAGTGATCTGGTGAATGCTAAAGGAGGTGGGGAAGGGAAGGTAGTAAGGAGACAGTTTCATAATGAGCACGTTTTGGTGCCTAGTATTGTACTAGGGCCTTTCGCATGCTACGTTTAATCATGCAATATTGCATGAAATGAGGCCTGGGATTGTGAAATCCTGGTGGAGACTGTCGGAGCTGCCATTTGAAGTGAAAACTGAAGCATGTGGGGCTTAAAAACAGCTTGGGATAAAGTTTGAGGTAGCGGGAGAGGGAAAAAAGATCTTGGCATATATATTTTGAACAAATACTTGTGTCATCCTCAATTGTGTAGTCTTTGTGACTTTTCCTGTGTTCATCTGGTTGGCAGATGGTTGCAAAGTGTCTTTTAGCTTCATGGAAGGCACACATGAATCATGGCTATGTGATAAATAGAAGAAGCCATGTTTCAGAGGGTTTTTGGTGTGTGTACGTGTGTACTTGCATGTGTGTGGGCACACGCTTGTGCCAAGTGGACCACCAGTTTACATCTGATTTACAACAGGGCAGATTTCACATGCTTCTTTAGTGTGGACCAAGTAGATCTATTTTTAGAAGTGGAAAGTAGAGCATGTTCCAAAAGTTCTTTGCTTCTGCCATCAGGGATTGTGGTGTCTTTCATTTATAGTAACTTCAGGTCTCTAAATACTTTCAGCAAAATTAATGAGGCAAACAAAAAAAATCAGGTAGCAGATAATTAGATCATGTGTTACTTTACAGAGAACCTTATTTCTATTGCCTTTGGAAAAAAATATAATTTGTATTTTTCAAAATTGTGATTAGATCAAATACTTTTCCAGGCTTACTTAAAAGAAAAAAGAAATATTTCTGTCTAGGGACAAGAATGTGTATAGTAAAATTGGCCTTGTCTTACTGACTTGATGATGCAAAGGAAAACATATAAGAATCAGTTTTTAAAAAATGTGTTAATATTTATTATAATGGAAATAGTCTTACTAATTAGCAATAACTAGAAAAATGTCTACTATTTATTGAGCCACTACTATATGCCATATTGTTTACCTATGTTCAGTTTCTCTTCTATATTCAAAATAATCCTATAAGGTATGCTTTATGATCACCATTTGTTCCAATAGGGTCTCAAAGATATTAGGTTAATTATTCCTATGACATTGAGCCTGTGAATGTGAATGGCAGAGTTGGGAGTTTGAACCTAAGTCTGATGACTCTGAAGCTTATAGGCTTTCCACTGAAACAAGCTGCCCCTCAAAGTCATGACAACTGAGAATAGCCCTCAGTTTTACCGCTAGGAGGGTAGTTGTAGTTGTGTTTATTATTCACTACTGTCCATATTCATTGAGCTTCTATTTTACTCCAGTCATGGTGATAAATAATGCAGATTCTAGAGGTCAACAATAAGGTGGCCTTGCCCTCAAGGAACCCATGGGCTAGTTGGGAAGACTAATAAGAATATTAATGATTATGATGCAGAATGTTAGGTGCAATGGGAGCAATAATAAGGTACTACTGGAGCCTGACAAAGGCCACAGGTTCTGTGTGTGTGTGTGTATGTGTGTGTGTGTTTGGGAGAAGGCAAAGGCCACTTGAGATAAAAGGAGCAACATAGACAAAGTCAAGAGCTTCAGAGCATATAACTTATATGAGACATAGCAAAGAGTTTAACTAGAAAATAGTGGTTAAGTGTGGCAGACTATGAGAAATGAGAATGCAAATCCACGAGAATGGGAACAGTAGAAATTCTACTTTTTGGAATGATCATAACCTTTTAAAGTTGTCTTTATATGATAGATATTTTCCTTCTGTTTTGAGGTATCTGTCTTTTTTTTAAAAAATATATATATATATTTTGAGATGGAGTCTCACTCTGTCTCCCAGGGTGGAGTGCAATGGCACAATCTCGGCTCACTGCAACCTCTGCCTCCCGGGTTCAAGAGATTATCCTGCCTCAGTCTCTTGAGTAGCTGGGATTACAGGTGCCTGCCACCATGCCTGGATATTTTTTTGTATTTTTAATAAAGAAGGGGTTTCTCCATGTTGGCCAGGCTGGTCTTGAACTCCTGACTTCAAGTGATCCGCTTGCCTTAGCCTCCCAAAGTATGGGATTACAGGCGTGAGCCACTGCACCTAGCTTGGAGTATCTGTCTTTTGAAGACACACTGTAAAAGTCATAATATTTTCCCAAAGAAGAAATGTGATTGGTATATAAATACATGTTAAACTAGGTGTTATTGGCAATCAAAATTAAAAAAAAGTTAAACCAACCAAAGAACAAAAGTAATGAAAATAGTTAATATCGATAAGAACAAGATGAGATAAACATATTTGTGTTTTGCTGATTGGTCTATAAAGTGATTCAACACTTTTGTAAAACTGTACATAAGTTACTTTAAAGGTTTATGTCCTTTGATTCAATAGCACTGGTTTGGTACTTTATAATAGGAAAGTTATTAGAAATATTTATTGCAGGGTTTCTTTAACAATGAGTCATAAGAATTAGCCAAAGTAGCTATGGTACATCACACTGATGCAACTTAATGTGTCTTTAAAAATCATGCTTATTAATAACATTTCAGATGCATTTAATACAATTCTAGCTGAAAAAAAGATACTGAAACATTTTGTGTGTATACATGTCTATATATATATATCCCTCTCCCTGTCAATCTATAAATTAAAAACTATATGTTAAAAACTGCAAATTAAAACTATATACTAAAGAAAGAAACTGGAAAGAGATACATAGAATGTTAATAATGAAGGTCATTGTGTTTGTGTGGTATGACTATGAATAATTTTTTCTTTCTATTTTTATGCATTTTTCATGTTTTTTTTTTTTTTAATTTTGAGATGGAGTCTCACTCTGTAACCCAGGCTGTAGTGCAGTGGCACGATCTTGGCTTCCTGAAGTCCCTGCCTCCTCCCAGGTTTAATCAGTTATTCTGCCTCAGCCTCCTGAGTAGCTGAAATTACAGGTGTGTAGCACCCTGGCTAATTTTTGTATTTTCAGCAGAAACAGGATTTCACTATGTTGGTCAGGCTAGTCTCAAAGTCCTCCCAAAAGTGCTGGAATTTGGCCTCGCAAATTGTTGGGATTGTCACCATACCTGGCCCATTTTTCACATTTTTAATGATGATTTTAACTTTAAAAGTAAAAATTTGTAATAAAAAATTTTTTTACTTGTACAAATAAAAATTACAAATGAAAATTAAAATTACTACACATTTCTGTTACTAAACAAGAAAAGATACATTATAGAGTTCAGTTTTATTTTGTTTTCTGATAAATCTATGGCTGGCAGCAGGTGGGTAACTCTTTTTAAAATTTCTCAATATTAGCTAGATTTCTCTTGGGATAGCTCTGCTGAACTGGAAAGAGATCTTCTCCCCTAGAGCCACTTGCTGTTTTGATTTTCTGGAAAAAGAGAAATTATAGAAAGCTACAATCTACAAATGACTATGTACTACAGTCTACTAAATAGTATAATACTTTATTTTGTAAACTATATCTCTCAGAGTACAAGGCTCCACAGCTAGACTTGCACCAAATATATGATGTTTTTGAATTGTTATTTTCTCAAAGTTCTGTGTCTTTACAAAGCAAGTTGATGGGGGAAGCAGAGAGAGCACTCTGGTGCTTCCAAAAGCATCAGCTATGCACAATCTGCCTATTGAAAACACCAAATCTGAGCATGTGTTTCATTGCTTAGGGATAAATAATCACAAAAAGACATCAATGAAGCCTATAAAAATGAGAGTGCATGCAAGAAGATGTGATTGTTATAAAACAGGTGCACCAGGCCACTCAGAGAGCAAGCCTAAAGGAAAAGTCATCATGGTAAGATGGAAATAGATATAAGAGGAATAGTGAACAGTGGCATGAAAGTAAAGGAATGCAAAAGTAATAAAATATCCATAGCATTCATCTGTTCTTGTATTGGTATAAAAAATACCTGAGACTGGATAATTTATGAAGAAAAGAGGTTTATTTGGTTTATGGTTCTGCAAGCTGTATGAGAAGCATGGTGCCAGCATCTGCTTCTGGTGAGGCCTCAGGAAGCTTCTATTCATGGAGGAAAGTGAAGGGAGAGCTAGCATATCACATGGTGAGAGATGGAGTGAGAAAGAGAGAGAAAGGAGATGCCAGTCTTTGAAATAACCAGATTTTGTGTGAACTCAGAGTAAGAATTCACTTATCATGAGTACAGCATCAAGACATTCATGAGGAATCTGCCCCCATGACCCAAACACCCCCCACTAGGCCCACCTCCAACATTAGCAGTAACATTTCAATATAAGACTTGGAGGGGACAAAACATCCAAACCATATCACCCACATTGAGGGAGCAAGGAGCAGACTTTATACTGTAGGACACACATGGGGAACAAACTTTCCCCAGGGTATAGGGCAAGTGGACAAGGGGCTGGAAAAAGAAGGGTAATGGATAGAGAGGAAAGAATATGGAGTTAGAAGCTACATCTAAGAACTGTACATATTCCTAAGGAACCAACAAAGATGATACAAACAGGACGAGTACGAAAGATATAATAGAAGAAAATGACCCTGCATTGAAAATGATCAAAGTACGCAGATTGAAAAGGCTCACAAATTCCAATAAAAAGAATTGAAACAACAACAAAGAAATGCTACAATAACATTCTTTAAATTATATTAAGTATAATGTTTTAGCAAAAATAAGTACTCAGTCAGTAGTAAGAAATTTGCCAATAAAGAAACCAAAACTAAACTCTAGCTTTTCTTATGTAATACTGAATCCCAGAAGAACTTGGAAACATATATGCATGCTTTACCAGGATCAGATAATAAGGCAGGTATTTAAGATTGGAAAAGACCTCTCTCACTGGTAAAGGCAATAGGAAGATATATTTTAGAAGTAGAAGCTCTCTAACATAGACACTATTCTGCAAAAAAATAAGATAAATATAACAAAAGAAAATGAGCTTCAGTGTATTTTGGTCACTGAGAGATGATTCGAAATAAGACTTTTAATAATGAGAATGCTAATATTTAAAAGAATAAGTGGAGCTTTTCCTTACTCAGTTTGTTCAATAAAAACATGGGTCCACTCTAACCTGATATATTGTGTTGCTTAAAGGGAAGGCCTGGTCCTGTCTTTTCTGCTTTCTTCTCTGTTCATGGTATAGAAAATGTATTTTTGTTAACCAATTATTGACTTCACACTTGAGGTAGACTTTGTTGCCATGTTGGATGGCTATTTTGTTAGACAGTAAAACAGTTTTCTGCCACATGCCTAGGTGATTTTAAATAATGTAGCCCTTACCCTCATCTGCTGTTATAGGGACCACATGCTTTGTGGTAACCAGGTGCTGCCAAATTAGATGATGGCAGGCTCCTGATCCATGCCTGTCAAGTCATAGGTGGTTAAGGGAATGGAAGTCAGAGGCAGACTGTCTCGTTCCAAATCCAAGGTCTATCAGTTGACTATGATCTTCATTTTCTTATTCTATAAAATTAGTTTATTGATTGTTCCTACTCAATTGGCTTGAGGTGAAGCTTAAATGAGTTAATACACGTAACTATTTGACTGGTACAAGACAAAATCCTATTACATGTTCTGAAAAAAAATTATCTACACGAACTAAAGAAATGAATTCTATTTCCTCCACTACTGCAACTCAAAACTTCTAGTCACTAAAACTGTGGGGTTTTTTCTATATCAGTTTGTCAGACACCTATTAGATGTCCTATAATTCAGTTCAGTTCTGACATCATCTGCATGGAAACAGCATCAGATCCCATGGACTAATAGCTCAGTGTCATAAGTCTGGCTGTAATGGCCCAAGTGGGTTATCCTTGCCTACTGCAATACGTGGAGATGGTGGTGTTGCAGTAGAGAAAGTGTTTAATAATCACAAGGCCAACCCAGCGGAAGGATGAGAGATAACTCTTACATCTCCCTCCCTAAGAGCTCAGGGGCTGGGGATTTTAAGGATAATTTGGCAGACAGGGGGCTAGGGAATGAGTGCTGCTGATTAGTTGTGGATGATATCATAGGAGTATCCAAACTGGCTTCTCATGCTGAGTCAGATTCTGGGTGGAAGTTTCTGTGTGGGAGTTAATTCCTTGCCATGAGTCACAGGTCTGGGTGGAGTTGGTTAGTTGCCAGAAAGTGAAAGTTTAAAAATATCTCAGAGACCAATCTTAGACCAATCTTAGATTTTGACAATAGTGATATTATCTATAGGAGAAAGTGGGGAAGTTAAAAATCTTGTGACCTCTGGCTACATGATTCTTGAGCAGTAAGCTATTATGGAAAGGCAAGCTAGGAAACGATGGCTAGTTATTGTTTAACTATACCTACATCTTAGCAGAATTCAGGTCCTTCTCATAATCCCAACCTTGTGTAGTTTCATTAGTCTTACAAAGGCAATTTCAGCTGCCCACCAAATAGGGAATTAATTTCAGAAAGGGACTGTTTTTTTTGTTTTGTTTTGTTTTGTTTTTGAGACAGAGTTTCGCTCTTGTTACCCAGGCTGGAGTGCAATGGCGCGATCTTGGCTCACCGCAACCTCAGCCTCCTGGGTTTGGGCAATTCTCCTGCCTCAGCCTCCTGAGTAGCTGGGATTACAGGCACGCACCACCATGCCCAGCTAATTTTTTGTATTTTTAGTAGAGACGGGGTTTCACCATGTCGACCAGGATGGTCTTGATCTCTTGACCTCGTGATCCACCCACCTTGGCCTCCCAAAGTGCTGGGATTACAGGCTTGAGCCATCGCGCCCGGCCTCAGAAAGGGACTGTTTACCATCTTTGTTTTAAAGTTAACAAAGGCAGTTAGCTTGTGATATTAGAAGAAAGAGGGAATCAGCTATGTCAGATTTCTCTCACTGTCATAATTTTTGCAAAGGTGGTTTCATGGCCCCATTTGAAATGAGAGAATGGAAAGTGCAGGTTTTCACCTGAGCTTTGGACTGGGTGGAAATACATTAGAAGTTCCCAGGACTTCCTCCTCAGATTTGACCATTTGCTGGAATGGTTTGCAGAACTTAGGAAAAATGTTTACTTGTTAGATTACCAGTTTACTTCAAAACGAAATTACAAATCAGGAACAACCAGATGGAAGAGATGCACAGGGCATTGTATGTGGGAAGGGGCACGAAGCTTCCATGCACCCTTGGGCTCATCATCCTCTCAGCTCCTACATGTATTTAGCAACATAGAAGCTTTTTTTTTTTTTTTTTTAATGTCTTTATTTCTCTACTTGCTCTGAAGATTTTTGAAAAATGTTCTTAGGCCAGGTGTGGTGGCTCATGCCCATAATCCCAGCGTGTTGGGAGGCCAAGGTGGGCAGACCACCCTGAGGTCAGCAGTTTGAGACCAGCCTGGCCAACATGGTAAAACCCCGTCTCTACTAAAATTAAAATAAAATAAAATACAAAAAATTAGTCAGGGCTGGTGGTGCATGCCTGTAATCCCAGCTACTCAGGAGGCTGAGGCAGGAGAAGTGCTTGAACCCAGGAGATGGAGGTTGCAGTGAGCTGAGATTGCACCACTGCACTCCAACCTGGGTGACAGAGTAAGACTCCATCTCAAAAAAAAAAAAAAAAAAAAATCAGCAATGTGTGGTTCAAAAAAAAAAAAATCAGCAATGCGTGGTTCTTTTGAATCTGTTGTATGTAGTGGCACATCACCGCAGTGCAGAGCTTCTCAACTATTGATTTTATTCCCCAAGGGACATTTGGCAAAGTCTGGAGACAATTTTGGTTGTTACAACTTAGAAGCTGATGCTATTGGTGTTGTGGGTAGATGCCAAGAGAGACTACAAATGTTCTCCAATTCAGAAGACAGCCTCCACAAAAAGAGTTATTCAGTCCAAAATGTTAATAGTGCTGTTACTGAGAAACCCTGCTCTGTAGAAGAAGCTTAGAACTCTGATTTTTTTCCTTTTTTCTTTTTCAATCAGCTAATGAGAAAAAATGTCAGAGAGATAGGCAAAAATGTCAGCAGCCCTCTTTGGTTTTCAAAATCATTTCAGATATTTGCTATTCACCAGTGTCAGCCAAAGTGTTTATTTTTGGAAGGTCAGAAATTACACAGGGCCAGATTACTAAAATCCTTATTATTATCATTATTTGTTGTGTTTAAGAGCCTATTTTAGTTATTTAGTATGGAGAAGTCTACCATAGAGATCTCTTTGTTCTGAGTACTGGACCTTTTTCACTTACACAAGACTCTCCTAGTCTATACATTCTTCACCCTGATAATCCAAGAAGTCTGAATCCTTCCCATGGCTCTGCCCTGTTTCCATCCCCAGTCAGTGGGTTTCCCCCAGGTCTCCAGTGTACTTTGAAACTAGAACCTCCTAAAAGATTCACAGCTTGAACATGGTAGTCTTCTGAGCTGTTCAATATTTTAAATCTCTCTGCGGTTATAATCATTCAAGTCTTTTAGTCATTGTTCTAATGTCCGTATAGATGACGGAATTATTATAATATTAGAAGACTTGTTTCCCAGAGACCACTAAGAAAATCTCAATATCCCATGGTAGTAAATAGAGTCTGTTTTCTACCCAGCATCTAGTAGAGTACTTCATATATGTGTTTTGACAGTTTGCCTGAAAGTAATTTGACAAATAATTTTACTAAAGAATCCTAGAAAGTCAATAGCAAGATCTTGTTTATTCTAAGTTGTTCAAGCCACATGCTTGGATATGGTTGACTCAGATTTCTTCAGAACTGGAAAAGTACAAGACAATTAGTATTCCATTAATAAGGAATCATGGATTGTGTTAGTCTTTTTAAAAAATAAAATAATTTAGCACATAAGTGGCAGCGTAGTACCTTTTAAAGTGGAGTCCCAGGGAAATTTCTTGAATTGCTGTAATTCTCATGGTGCTCTTCTGAAGCTGTGTAGATATTGATTATGCTGCCTCCCATCACCCCCCACCCTCACCATTCCAGATCAGCTCAAAGACAACATAGAAGATCCTATCGTGATCTCTTCTCTGAAACATATACTTTCCCTCCTCGCCCACTGCCTGCCCACACTATCCCAGTCCCTCTCTACCCTATACGCTGTTTTGTCTTCTACTTTAAAAATCTTATCTATTTCTTTATACGTTAATCATCTATCACTCCCCATACATTACAATGTCTGCATTCATTCCCTAAGTAACTGGAACTCGAGGCCAGGAAGCTTATTTTTGAAACTTCCTTTCCTTGGCTTTCTCCTCTAACTGCTCTTCCAGTTCATCCAGTGGGCTTGACTATTCTAATTCCAAATCTGTCTGGAATTCGTCTACCTCTTGCAGTGTCCACTGCTGTCGTTCTGGTCTGGGCCACCATCGACACTCATGCTCACTGAACTGCAGCAGCCCCCTGCCGGCCGCTTACTTTGACCACATCCCTTTTTGAATGTGTTCTGTACAGAAAAACTGGAGTCAGTAAAAATACAGAGCATGGTGTTCATTGCCTTGCTTGGACAGGACCTGCCATGTGTGGCTTCTCTATAGTATTGGCTGAATGAAAAAACAGCGAGAAATAAATGTGCAGGGAGTAAATTGACAGAAAGCTGCCCTCAGTCATCTCCCATGGAGAGGGCCAGTGATGACTGGCAAAGCTCACAGAGTTACTATGTGTCAGATTTGGGACTAAAATCCAATTTTTCTGAGAATGGCCAAGAGTTTATTTATAGAAAACATGCTGTTGTCTCTTTATTCCTTCTCACTCCCTGCAAATTAGTGGCATTTTAGTTTACTTTAATGCACAGTTATTTTTAATTTTTGATTGAACAATTAACACTCATTTATTTCTGAAAACGATTGCATTGCTAAAGAGCATAGAGAAATAAGGGAGCAATTTATCAACCTACCATAGGTGGAATTTTTACTTTCATCTTTATACTTTCTTCTTCATTGTACTTTTTTTTAAATGTAAGTATGCATTTATTTTTATAGACAGGAAATATGTGAAGTTATATAAATGTGTAATGAATTTCATTACTCGAAACTAACTGTGGGTGATATTATAGTGTACTGTAACTTATTCTACGATTTCATGGGATTATTTGCCATTGGTGATATAAATTTCCATAATGTATGGAAAGATATATCAGAGGATGCTAACCATGGGCTTAAGGAAGCAGATTTCATAATTTGAAACATGGCCCACACAATTAATAAATGTAAGACATTTGGCACTCTACTTCTAATATCTCAAATTTTTGTAGCAACTGTCTTTAAGAACTGCAACATATTCATGGGGAAAACTATTTATTAGAAAAATACTTTACAAAAAGGAAAATAAACTTAACAGCCCTTTTAAGTGGTAAAATAGCAACATAATTCCATATCTATGTTTTAGAGCCATATATAGTTATAGATATAAATTATATTTGACAGTTTTTAAAAGATTTTCTGTGCAGAAATTGTATCTGTATATATGAATAAAGCCCGAAGTAATCTATACATTTTATCACTGGTCTTCAGATATGTTGACAGAGTCACTTGTGAAATATATGCTTGAAATTTATGTAATTACCCTGACATTTGTTATTTTCATAAGCATTCTTAGCTAATACATAGAGAAATAAATAAAAGGAACTCTAACACCAAAACTATCCTTTCTTAATTAAATAAGAAGGACTGCAATTATTTTAAAAATGTATGTCAGTCAAACCCAAGTTGCCTTCAAATGTAATTTAATTTTCTGTTATTTACATTTTAAATTGGATGTCATTTTTTAAATTGTTCATCTTTCTTAATTCTTTAGGCATTACTTATCCTCCAACTCCAACAACCAAAATTAATCCTAATTTGTATCACACTAATTTAAAATAGATCAAAGAACTAATTTCACAGCCCAATTCGAAAGCATCATACTATGATATGTAGAATTAATAAAATATATTTCTGGTTTTGCCCATCTAAAAAATTAAAAAAAAAAATTAAGTGCTTAACACAGTGCCCGGCACAGAAAAGGCACTTGATACATGTTTGGTAATGTCTTTGTGACTGTCAGTTTTACTGATGTTGCATATTGGTACTACTAAAGACGAATGGGAGGCCTGCATTATGGTTTGATAATATGGTTAGCATGACCACTTGTCATGGCTGGCCTGTGAGAATCCTGTTTAATGCCTGTTGTTCCAGTTTTCTCTGACTTAACTTTTTAGCACTCAAAAGTATGTGATTTGGAGGACAAATTTTATGGTCGCCAACGCTTTATTGTAAAGAATCATGATGGAAAGTCTCCAGTGTCATCGTCACGCTCTCTTGATTTAGGCATCTAAGCTATCCAGGACTCACCATGGGGGTTGAACAACTTGAATCAGAGTAAGCTTTCCAAGTATGGGGCATGCACTTAAGATAGGTACAGTTGGCTGGGCGCGGTGGCTCAAGCTTGTAATCCCAGCACTTTGGGAGGCCGAGGCGGGTGGATCATGAGGTCATGAGATCGAGACCATCCTGGTCAAAATGGGGTGGTCAAATGGGGTGAAACCCCATCTCTACTAAAGATACAAAAAATTAGCAGGGCATGGTGGCGCATGCCTGTAATCCCAGCTACTTGGGAGGCTGAGGCAGGAGAATTGCCTGAACCCAGGAGGCGGAGGTTGCGGTGAGCCGAGATCGAGCCATTGCACTCCAGCCTGGGTAACAAGAGTGAAACTCCGTCTCAAAAAAACAAAAAAAGATAAGTACAGTTATTCTGATGCCAATCTCCTCTGACCTGCTGTAGGTCAAGAATCAGGCAACATTTAGGAAATGAAAGTACAGGGCTTTGTCTCTTTTTTTACCTTTCCTCTCAAAATGGTTTTTGCTTGGGATTTGATTGTGAATGAAAACGTAAATAAATTTGCTAGATGTGTCCGTCTTTTCATGTGGCAGACAATATCGACTGGAATTACGGTGGTCAAAATTATGTTTGTGTGTATAGCCTAATAGCCTAAACCAATGACACTTGCGTGGTAGTTGTTTTTTTTATTTTTTGACAGAGTCTCACTCTGTTCCCTGGGCTGGAATGCAGTGGTACAAAAGTAACTTTACAGATACATAAATTTTCCTATCCAAGACCAGAGAGTGAAAAAGTATCTGAAGTACTGGGAGCCAATTAATTATTTTAAAATTTGAAGTCTTTCTCCTTTCTGAAGAGAATCTCCAGAAGATTTTCCTGGAATCTTTAGAGTTTGCAAAATCTGTACAGACAACTATACAGACAACGTTATGGACTTGAATGATTTTTATGGGTAAATGACACAAACTCTTTCTAGGTTAGCAAATGGTTCTCTTAACTCATTGAAAATTACAAAGAGTGCTCATGCAATTTCCTCCAGAGAAAGCAGATGTCTTGTTATGTTTCTTTCTTTCTTTTTTTTTTTTTTAAAGACAGAGTTTTACTCTTGTTACCCAGGCTAGAGTGCAATGGTGCCATCTCAGCTCACTGCAACCTCCAGGTCCTGGGTTCGAATGACCCTCCTGCCTAA